GTTGTCACCAATCTATGACCGTGAATCATCGGGTTTCTCGACGCTTTTATGGGAGTATGCCAATATTTCTTTCATCTACGGTTCCCTCACATCGCTTACGTAAACACAAAACGGAGCTGATTACAAAAGCTGCGGAGGCTGTCTCGTTTCTTTTGTTATTTAATTTAAAATATATTAAGAATGGAGGCTATAGAAGGAGTGTACTTAAAATACTTAAAAGCCTTATACTTTTATAAAAACTTCAATTATATACAAATTATTTAAAGTTAGGCCCATTTTTTTCATCGGTTCTATGCTAGGCAGTATGAACTTTCTGAAAATATACAGATTGCCTGATAAACTACAAAAAACCACAAAATAATACTGATATGGGTTGTTAAGCTGTGTGGAATGTAAAGCGATTTAGAAAATGGCATATTCCTCTAAATGTGTAGTATTAAACATAAATAATATACATTGTTATAGTTGTTGTTAAAAACACTATTTGACATATAAGAACCCTTTGCATTAATAATTATATCTTATCTATTTTTTGTGTAACTAATATATTTCTATTAATTCATGTATTTATCATAACAATTCCAAGTTTTTTGTTTGTCAGCAATATTGTATAGTAGCTTACTTTCGGTTATATCCAATTTAAACCTCAAATTTAAAGTGGATCATTATTTAACTAAAACTTTGAACACACAGAAATCGCAATTGGCATCACCCAGGATGAGATAGTCAAGGACTGGGAATGGCTGCAGAGCAATCTGTTTAAAGTGTTAGACGAAATGGAGAACGAAGACGAGGTGACTAACTTCACCATATGCAAAATCCAATCACTCTACACCCAAAACAATCAAGATGACACAGGCGAATCGGCGGATTTCAAGGTGATGACTTCACAATTTAGGCAGATATTCAAAATGCCCGAAGAAGAGCGACTTGTTAATTCCTACTCAGCCACGTAAGCAAAAAAAACCTATTACATTAGCAAAAATTCGTTACTAATTGGATTTGTATTTTAGATATGTTAAGAACAAGATTCCAAGACAGGGTCAGCTTTACATCTCTATGAACCATGTTTGTTATTACTCCTATATGTTGGGCCAGGAGATAAAGCGCATTATACGCTTTGCAGAGCTGGAGGACATTAGCCGAAATGCAAATACCATCTATCTGAAGACCACAAACAACATGACGTATAATTTTACAATGCTCTTTAACGCCAGCGAGGCGCATCTATTGATTGAGCAGCTTAACAAAATGGCCATTCAACAGCTGATCCATGATCCTGACAGTCCCGTGGTTGACCACGATCCCTCGAATTTCGCCCGGTTTGGTAACAAGACATCGAAAAAGCCCGTACTGCTACGCGATTTGACAGCTCGCCAGAAATCCGAGGAGTTTCGCATATATTTTCGACTGCCTCAGTCGGAGATAATTGACGGGAAAATCAAGGCCAATATTTGGACACCTTACTCAAAGCGATTTAATTCCGGTTTTATTTATCTATCGCCAAATTTCTTTTGCTTTCGTAGCGATGTCAAGGATTTGGTCAGCGTGGTAATACCGATGAAGACCATAAAGGTGGGTAAAATAAATTTCTCAGAGCTCACTTAGTTTAATTTATGTTTTTTAATTTCTTAGAGTGTGGAAAAAAAAGATGATGGTCAGCAAAGGTTCGAAAATCAAATTGTCATTATCACATCAGAAAATGTGCCTTTTATGTTTGCTCATATCGTGGATAGAGATGTGCTTATCTCCAAGATCACAGATCTACTCGCACGAATTCATGTGTAAGTTTAGGACTATAGAACAAAGCTTAAAACATTATTCACTAATCTCTTTTTTATGACAGTCCTGTAAGTCGCGAACGGGCCAAATACGACATCTCGTGGAGCAAGCAGACAGCTCTAATGAACACCTTTAAGACGCAGTTCAGTTCCGAGATTGTACAAAAACAAGAGGAAAAGATGTTGCGTTGGGAATCACATTTTCGGGACTTTGGACGTGGCATTGGAATGTTCCGTACCACGGACGTGATAAATCTGATTGTGGAGGGCATTCCCGATAAGCTGCGCCAGGAGATCTGGCTGATCTTCTCGGGAGCGATTCACGACAAGGAAATGAATCCAGGACTGTACGAAGACCTGGTAGAAAAGGCGGCCTGCATCAAAAATTGCTTTGCCCATGACGAGATCGATCGAGACTTGCCGCGTTCCCTGCCCGAACATCCGGCATTCCAGAGTACCGATGGAATTGGAGCTCTGAGAAGAGTCCTGCAGGCCTATGCACTGCGCAACCCGCAGGTGGGCTACTGCCAGGCCATGAACATTGTTTCGTCGGTGTTCCTGCTCTTCTGTGACGAGGAGAACGCCTTCTGGATGCTGGCCAGCCTGTGCGAGAACCTACTACCGGACTACTACAAGGATAAGGTGGTGGGCGCCCAGATTGATCAGGGCGTTCTAAACGAACTGGTTGAGACCCATCTGGCTGATTTGCACGGACATCTGGAGCAGCTGGGAGTGATCAAGATGATCTCAATCTCGTGGTTCCTTACCATCTTTATGAGCGTGATTAGTTACGAAAGCTCGCTGCACATCCTGGACTGCTTTTTCTACGAGGGCGCAAAAATCATCTTTATGATCTCGCTGCAAATCATCGAGTGGAACAGGGAAAAACTGCTGCTGTGCCAGGATGATGGCGAAGCCATGATTGTATTGCAGGATTATCTAGAGGGGATCTACAACCCAGAGTATCAGGTTCCTCCAGCTACTGACAAGCGAAAGTTGGAGCGCAAAATTCAAACCCAAACCGTACAGACTCTGATCCATGAGGCGTACACTAAGTTCGGTGAGGAGATCACCCAGCAGCGCATAGAGGAACTGCGGAACAAACATCGTCGACTGACCATGCGACAGTTTGATATTGACAACGAAAGAACCATTGTTAAGGCCTACGTCCAGAATTCTTATTTCAATCGTAACGAGCTGCATATGCTGCTAACCATCATCCGCGAGGAAAAGCATGCGCTGAAATCCCTGCAGCAGCAGCAGCAGAAGGCGCAATGTCCGCTTTCAGAGATGCCCCAGCTAGTGTCCCAGTCGCCAAGCAGGCCGGTCCATGAATCAGGAGCAATGGGAGACAGACACGAAGCCTACAGTGTCAATTATGAGGTGTTCCACACGCTCTTCACGGAGCTCACTCCCTGGCGCAAGTGCATTAGTGTGGACATTGGTGAAAAGTTGTTCAGGGTAAGTTAATGGTCGGGGATCTTTCTGGAATAAATCTATAAGTTTTTGCTTACTCTACCTAGCTCACAGACAAGCGAGGCACTGGTTTTCTAGACTTCGGTCAGCTCATTAATGCTTTGGGCTTAGTCTGCTCTACCAAGAGCATGGAAAAGCTAAAACTGCTGTTTGTCCTTCATCTGCCGCCTCTTTTGTCCAAAGCGGAGATTGAACGTTCGCGTCGCCCGCGACCTCGCACCAAAGACGATGCCGAGGAGGCCTTCGAGGCGGAGGATTTCTTTGAGTGAGTATTTTATTCAAAGCCAGATGCTTGAAATCGCGTTAAAAATTTGGCAGCCGACAGTGAAATTAACACTGGAAATCCATTACAGCAATGACGCCTCAGAATCGATGGAGGCGCTGCCCTCACCCTCGGATCACAACTTTGATGCCGACGACTTTGCCCTGATCAGTGCCACCCAGCACCTGCACAACCTGGCCGGAATCTCGGGAAACACGTTCATGGACCTTTCGCGCACTCCCAATCTCTCGCTGAACTCCAACACCTCATCGTTGGCACAGCGCAGCTCGACATTCTACGTGGACCTGCCGGCACTCCAGGGTACTGCAACATCCACAGATGCTGGGCGGGACGATGACGGGCCCCAGAGAGGGCTTCGCCAGCAGGGCCGTTACGAATCGATTGACACATTTTCGGATATTTCAGATCTGGGAGCGGCACGCATGACGCCGCCCGGAGCTGGAGTGGGAGCAGATGTGGCAGCCGAAGCAGCCTCGGCTGCGGCCGCCGATCACATGCTTCTGAATGTTGAGACTATATCGAATTTCTCACAGATCAGCGACCTCGTTGCAGCCACTCGACAAGAGCGCGCCGACTCGACCGCCACAGATTCGCGGAGCCTGGGCAGTCTAGGCTATCTGCTGGACCAGCCGGATGAGGGGGCGTCCAGTTCGCAGCACAGCATTCCGCATATGCGCAAGGAGAATTTCCAGCTTCTGTGGCGCAGCATCATTGAGATCATGGGTCTGGTGCAAGATGAAGAGATGCAAAGGGCTTGTAAGTATAAGTTTTGTACATTTCAAATATGTTCAGATATTAAAGGAGAGGACCTAATTTAAATATTGATTACTTTTCAGATGAGAATCTCCTCGAACTGGGCAACAGCAACATTAAGAAGGAGCCCAGCCTGGAAAGCTTTACACAGCTGAATTTGGGAGGCAGTGGCGATGAGGTAGGTCTTGCTATTTTTCTGAAAGATTAAAAATAACCCAAGTTAACTATCTCTTCCCAGCAACCGGATAGCAATGGAAATCCCACCACCCCCGCAGCGGAACCCATCGGCACCACTCGCCTCTTTGTGGCTCTCGAGGAGGAGCTGCGTCAGGCGAGTGGCAATGCCAGGACCACAACGACAAGCAGCGGCGGCAGCAGCAGCAGTAGCACAAACATCTCCGAGTCCTGGCACATATCCATTAGCCAGTTCATCGCCACGGTACTGACCGTCAATAGCATTGTCAGAGGTTTCCAAACACCCATCCAGATTAGCGAGCAAATCGAACAGCTGCAAAAGAAGCGGCGCAAGTGTTTGTCCACCAACTACTGAATAATCATATTCCCTATCCTATCCCCACCACCCAATCCTAGCCACAAAACTGTATTAGCCATATATGAGAGCCCGACCGATCCTTGATCCTTGTGCAATGCGGCAAGCTTTTAATCGTTTCCATGTTTTATGTATGTATATTGTATTGCCTCTATCGTTAAGTTAAGACAATTGTTTGTGAATATAATTCTATTATTCCTATTATACAACGCAGTCATACATAAATAGCAATGGATGCGGGTTTTTTGTACACACTGTATGTACTTTTGGGATGGTTATGGGGAAAATAATTCGTTTGGACATTTCATTTAACTTTTAAACATCAATCCTGTATTCCATTCTTGGTAAAATGGTCAACTTTAAAATTGATAAACATTACAAAAAAAACAGTTTTGAATTGTCCTTCGATTACTTTTTAGCTATAAGAGTAAGTTTTATCCTTCCACTCGAATACTCATTTACTCTTCCATTGCTATTTGCTGGGAGGTTCTTCTGTTTGCAGACGCATGCTGTCGCTCGTGCTCTGCCGTTCGTACCAGGCACTCCTCGTATGTCCACTTGGGGAAGACTCGCTTGTACAGGTACATGAACGCAGTGTCGTAGGATCGCAGCTGGCCATCAAAATAGCACTTCATGTGGCCGTGCGTGCCCAGCGATTCCTTGATGTGTCCTAGTCGGCCGCACTTAGTCCTTAGTTTTACCGGCTTGAAGTATTCCACATCCTCTTTGTAGAAGAACATGTATCGGATAGAAGCCGACTTGCGATTAATCCGCATGGGATGTCCGCTGAGGACAACGCGCTTGAGAACAATGCGATCTGGATTGCAGGAGAGCAGGCGTCCGCGGGCCACCAGCGCCAGCGTGGAGTCGGGATTCACTTTGAAGGCTAACACGGCTGAGGGAGGAAACTGAATAGGGGCATAAAACGTAGCACACACTGTTTCGTACGGGCGGAAATAGCGCTCAAACTGGAATAGTAAAATCTATTAATATTTATGCAACTACACAGAAAGGAGTACCCTTACCTTATGTTTGTCTCCGTTAGTGTGCTGGCTGTAAATGGGATTTACTACAAAGCGGCGATAGCCGCACTGGATAATCAACTGCTCTTTCGATTTCAGGGGCACCTCTGAGTCGGGCATTCGCTGCAGGACTACGTTCATGATGCACATCTGATGCTCGTGTGGAAGCATTCCATACACAATAATGTTGTCCGTCAGCTGGGCGGACCGGAAAGCATTCCAGCGGCTTTCGGGCACATTGATCACATGAAGCGTGACATAGAAACCAGGCTATAAACAAATATATACAAATTAAGAATATTTTACAAGTCGAATTTTTAAGGATTCTCACCAGCACACCCTCATACTCCTTGGCTTCGTTTAAAATCCTTCGCTTGGTGCGATCGAAATTCTGGAATTGATAGATACGCGCATAATCGGCGGGCAGGTTCTCCTTGGCATCCCAAGGTGATGTCCTAAAGGACTCCAAGCCACGGTATTTCTGGAACCTCTCGTGGGCGGGCACATCCAATGGCGTGTCTATCTCATCCGGCCAAAGCTGATCCGTGCGTGCCTGCTGCAGCTGCTTGAGAGTCTCACACTCCTCCTGGAAGTCCATCTGCTGGTCGTACTTCTCGTCGTTGACGGCCGCCTCCGAGGCCACGGACACACTGTCCTGAAACTCCTCTGTGTCGGAGTCCCGCTTCTCGTACTCGTCCTCGAAGGATTTGTTATCGCACGACATGAAGTCCTCATCATCCTCCTCGTCGTCATCATCATCATCATCTTCGTCGCCGCTCATATCATCGTTGCTGCCGGGATTTTCCACCTCCTCGACATCGGGAATCCAGGCTGCCTGGTACTCGCTGTAGCCCTTGGGCACACGTTTCACCAGCTTCATCTTTTTGGTCTCCTGCTGCGAAGCGGCGATCTCCTCCTCCGTGGGCCACGTCTGTTCCGCATCCATGGGATCGGGTATGTTCTCGCTTTGGAGTGAGGTGCGCTTTAGTGGATCACTGCGGTCCAGCAGACGCACCTCTGCATTCTCGCCATCGCGTGATTTGTCGAGTTTGTACGGATCTGGCGGGGCAACCACCTGGCTCAACTGAAAGTCACCCAAGCCGGGAATGTGCACCAAGCCGTTCACGTTTAGAGATTGTCCTCGAAGGAAACCAGTAACCTCAAGGGTGCCCAGATCCTCGCTGGGATCGGAACTCGGTTTGAACTCCACCACGTCGCCGAAGAGGTGAGGACGATTGGCTACATTGTGCAGGATGCGCTTTTTTTGTCCGCCAATGCGACGCATCACATTTAAACCTTCGCTGGCCGTGTCCAATTGCATGATCTTCTCTTCGGGTAGAAGCTTTGAGATGATCTTCTGAGCCGCTTGCTTGGTAGCAGTGCGTCGCTTGGGATTTATGGACTCCATATCCATGAGGGCAACCACAGGAGTGGGTATTCCCTGGGCGGACATCATATTAAAGATCCGTTGGCCCCAGCGATCGAAGATCTCGTCTTCGCCAAAGGCGGCGGAGGTCAGGAGCAGAGTGGTATCGCACACCTTGAGGTAATCCAGGGCAATAAGCTCATTGCCACGACCCACAGGAGGGGAAACAAAGGCGAAACGCTGCTTGAAGCGAGGAAGATTCATGTAAACAACCCCATTTGGGGAGTTCTCCACCACCAGATCGCTGTCGCAGCTCTGGAGGATGGCCAGTGCGGACTTGGGATCGATCTGCTCGTGCATGGGCAGCAAGCAGACTAGAAAGGGAGCGGTGTTCTGACCTCCAAGCTTTCTCTTCTGCTCCAGCACCTCATCCCTTTTGTTCTTGCGGAGCTGGTTCATCTGGTTGCGACGCTGCTCCTTGCGCTGCTGCTGCTTGTGCTTGTGGGAGATAGCCTTCAGGCCAATCTTTCCTGTGTGAGCAAGACGTGGTTTAGATCCTCTAGAGCTCCGTGAATCTCTTCAATAATTTGCACTTACCCTTCTGCGCATTGTCAATGGCTCCTTTGGAGCGATGACGGCCCGTTTTGTGGGCCTTGTTCGCTTGCTTCAGCGGCCCCGGCCGATGAAACGCATGATCCGCCATGATTGCAGCTCTTAGACTCACGAAATTCTAATTAATTTACGCTGTTTTGTTTTCTCTGCCAGAGCACATGTTCCGTCGCCAGTGTGACCAAAGTGACCAAAAGAGCTGCGCTTAACAGTGCACTTGAGTATGTTAGGCCTTAACAGCACTGTTATTAGGCGCCAATTTAAATATTAAGATTTTACTGTAAGTACTCACGGTACAATCTTAACATTTTAAATAAATAAAGTTGCGAAAATTTAAAACAATAAACCTTTTTTAAATAATTTTCAGCAATCCCAAAAAAGTTATATTTTTTTTGCTTTCTAATAAATTGTTCATAATTGTTGATTGATTTTGCACAGTTTAATCAAAATATGTGTTTTTTGTTATGTTGATCAGGCTGAACTCTTTTAATATTTAATATTACCACAATAATGTTCATTAATAAGTCCATGAACTTCTGCAATAAATATACAAATTAAAATTAAATTCCAGTTTGATTGTATAATGAACAAATTTTAAAAATTGTAATGGATATTTTTATACAGAATTTTATTAGAAATAAAAATGGATGCCCCAAACATATAAATTTATTTCCCCCTTATTTTAAAACCATCCCCAATAATAATCGAAACCAACACCAATTGCTTCCCAAAATAAACACAAAAGCTTGTTTTTCTTTTTTTAAACCACATTCAATGTAAATATGTATTTGCTGTTTATGGTATAGACTTGACGTCTGCTTGAATATAACGCTGTTTAGTAGCTAGTTTACATCCATGCCGTGATATATGCATGCGTCGGATTCTTTTGCTGTAGTAGCTCAGTATAGTAATAGGTTCAACTGCCTTTGATTATTCGCAACCTTCGCCTTGGCGCTCTTTTCAAAATATGTTCGAATGGGTTGGTTTGGGCTTACATAGATTAAACGTAGGTGTATTAATTAACTTAGTTGCGTAGGATATTCATTAGTGGGGCTTGTAAATAATTTCCAGGGGCCTCAAGTGGGCCTAAAACTTAACGATAGGCCATAACACTTAACAATTAGGAGTAAAACAATAAAAGTAATAGTAGGTAAATTGAGTGATTGTTTCTCATTAATTGGATTTGGTACTTCTCGAGATTTCCTCTGGGTTTCGGTAGGTATATATGAATTTTCTCGATCCTCCGCGAAGTCCAACGGCGTGCTGGATAAATCTCAATGTTGCATGATTTTGCTGCGTTTCTTCTGCTTTCTCCCGATAAAGTAATTTATGCAGTTGTATATGGATATTTGTATATATATATATATTGTTCAATATTTATGCATTTGGCCTATTTACGCCTCAATGCCAGTGGCCTGCCCTAAAAAAATTATGCTTATCGCGTCCCGTTCCGCCCCGAAATTCCCATTTACATACAAAACATACCGAATACTCTACCTCCTCGCTAGGGTCTTACAAAATTGGTGCCATCTTATGTCTTTGTGTGAATTTGTTTTTCGAGTGTGTCTCATTAAATGCAGAAGTTCGACTCTGCCTTACGTGCTCCATCATACATTTCCCATCCGTATTCTGTATCCTTCTGAGTGCCCCACTTCCCTTTGATCTGACTGCCGGTTTATTGTTGTCTTTGTGCGCGGGATCGGGAGGATATGGCTTTTATTGTTCGCGAGCTGGCCAATTACATGTTCCTGCATTGGGCACCGCAAACCGAGCGCGCCTTTGTATTATCACGCACAAAATCATGCACATTGAACTTTCCATCATCGCCGTGCTCGTAACCGCGACTCTTCAGTTGCCTGTCAAGGAAAGATTGTGAAGAGAAATTGGAAAAGGTAAGAAACAGGACCTTAACATTTTCCAAGAAGCCAACAGTGATGTGAAATATCTGCTACCTGATATCTATTCGGATCAAGCACACGCTTAAAACTACTTTAACAGAACTGGGGTACTGATAATATTAAATATTAAAGATTGTTTTTTAAGTTAGTATTTTTAATAATAATAATTTTAAATTCTCTAAAAACTAGCAGGCTCTTTAAATTTGGGACCATTTTCTGTACATTTTAATGAGTGTGTGGAACTACGGCTAAATCCACGCCCAAAAAAACAACATAAGAAATTAAAGAAAAAGGTATTTGCAAAGAAAACAAAAAAGTTTAATGCCAGTATTACTTGGCAAAATTATAATCTAGTCAAACCGATTCTTTCCTTGCTAAAATGAGAACAAGACTCGATTTTCATCCCTATGTTTATAAAATAAAAAATGTCAGCTAAATAAATTAATTTTATATTCTTCTAAACAATCAGAAAATAAATTATCTTTACATTTAATGTATGTAATGTATTTTGCATAAGTTGAATAAATAATCAGAAATATTTCGAAATCAGATATATATTTTGAAGCTAATAACTCGATTTTTTCCATCAATGTTGGCAGAAATTCGACTAATCAAGGATGCAGTTGAAAAGGATGACATACCTGGCCACCGCTGTGAAGGACAGTTCTACATTGAGTCCCGTTTTGGCCGAGGTCTCCATGAAGGGGACGTTGTGCTCCCGCCCCAGGCGTTCCCCATCCTCCCGCTTCACTTGCCGCTCACTGCCGCTGCAGTCAGCCTTGTTTCCTGCGAAACGGATTCGATTGAAACTCGAAAGTTAATTAAGCGTAATCAAAGCCTTTTAACCGGATCTCTCACCTATTAAAACGATGACCACGTCCTCCTGCGCGTATTCCCGGATCTCGCCCAGCCAGGCGCGTATGTTGTCGTAGGTGGTCTTGTTGGTCACGTCGTACAGCAGCAGCAGAGCTTCGGTTTCAAAATTTAATTAGGATCAAGGGACAGGCAGTCGGGGTGAGAGATGTAGCGTGCACCCGAATAAAATAATCAAACATAATTTGAAAAGTTTTAAAAGTTTTGCTCTTTGATAAATACGTTTGGCCTTTAATAATAATTTTTACTAGAAAGTCGACCTTGAATAACAGCTAAAATATCACTTTTTGCTGCTAGCTTTCATTATGGAGCATTATAAATGGAATTTTGTTTTTACCTGCAGCAAAAACACTTTCAAGAGTATTATGCACAATGTTGCATATGAAAACGGTTTTTTTGTTTCCCAGAATTTGAATAAAACAATTGACCAAGAAAAAAATTCATTGAAAGGAATAATTTTTGAATCTTTAAATAAAACATTGGCATTAGGGAGTATTACTTTAAGATTTTAAACGCAATAAATTGCTGCCTTTCTATAAAATTAAAGAGTTACAATTATTTATTGATATATAAAATGTATAAATTTCATATTAAACTATTAATAAAAATTACATTTTTAAATCTTAATAATCTACACCTCATAAAATGAAAATTTTGTATTGTTTTTACTGCTTACCTAAAATAAAAAATTTTAAAAACTGAAATTAAGCTCACCGTGGGCGTCGCGGTAGTAAGCGTGGGTTACGCTACGGAATCGCTCCTGTCCGGCTGTGTCCCATATTTGCAACTTGACGCGGGTGCCATCGACGACGACCACTTTGTTCTGTCGATATTATTGTACAAGTAATTGGTGGAAATTGAATTTATTATTTTTAAAATTCCAAACACGCATGTGGGCCGTGGAAATGCAATTGTTATGTAAAATGTAATTAATTCACGAAACGCTCATGCACAAAAGCCGTGCCACCGAATTACACACAGAGGAGGAGAAAAATAGTTGCATGGTAAGGGGAATTACGTTGCGTATGCTTAATGCATATCACTTATACGCAGCGTGGGCTGTCCTTTACCGTGCACCCCAAAATCACATGCAGACATGTAGAAGGCAAAAAAGAGAGAGAGAGGGGCAGGGGGAATATTCATAAGTACGGGCAGGCGGCCATTTTCATGATGAAAGCCTTGGGTCGAAGGATCCGGCATAATGATGAGCCGTCTCCTTTTTTCCCTCCATTTCCTTTTTCCCGGATAATGAGCAGCAGACGTTGCAAGTTCGTCCAGCCATTGGCATTACGATGGCCCCATGTCGTTTCCCCCACTAACTACTCAGACAGTCAGTCAATACCATAAAAGTGTACGAGAGGAATACACACAAAATAACATAGAAAAACAGAACATACAGCAAAAGGTACAAGTACGGGTATATGATTTTAATGTGTTTGTGTGGCATATTGCCTTGATTTGATTTCAAGTTCGGGGAAAGAAACACGACTAAAAAGATAAACCAGAATTTCTGGATCAGCAAACACCGGTCTAATGCACTGCCACAAATTACTGGGGGTAACACACTTGTATGGAAAACATGCGTTTTACATCAATTAAACCTTTTTTTTTATTATTTCATGAAATGACTTTCCTCAAAATACAAGTAAGAGACGCCGACTTAGACAGGAAATCAATCTATTTTCTTCAATTCATTATTTAATGTTGAATAATTCCTTTTACATCGAGTGAGTTATTGATATGAATAAATAAGTAGGTATATTGTATATCATATAACAATCAAATAAAAAAACTTTTCTTACATCTAGAAAGTTTAAACAATTAATTATCCATAAATTGCCAGTCACTCATATACAGTATTTGTTTACTTAATACTTTGGCCAAGAATCAGCCAAGTTGAAAAATCAACATGAACGACTCCCCAGCGAATTAAATTTCAGGTCATTCCCCAATGCCCCCAATGTAAGCGGTGAGGTGGGTGATGTTTAAGAGGGAGGTGCATCCCCGAGGCCAAAGTTAGACAATGCCAGAGTCGACATATTTAATATAAAAAACATGGCAACAATTTAAAGTCAAGGAAACGCCAAACGAATGGGGCACTTGTAAAATTTCCCGGGACAGAGACAGATAGTCATAGAAGGAAAAAGACAGACATGGGGGGAGTGACAGAGAGAGAGGTAACGCGGGTAGTTTAATAAATTTATGAGCCATGAACCACAGAGGAAAAGAGGATATATGCTAGGATATAGACAGGGGCAAAGGAAGTGCCTCCGGCCAGGACAACTAAGCCCCTAAATGTTGAACCGCACAATAATAAGCACAATAAAGGCAACAACACCAAGTTAAACACGGCAACAACAACCGTAGAAGGAGAGTAAACAGCACACACAGATACACATACCAAGGCACGGGCAAGAACATCAACAAGTCCTTTTCAAGTTCACATGCTTTTTAATAAATAGTCCCCCAAGGATCTTTATCTCTATCAACAAATTGGGTGGTTGGGTGGACTTGCGTTGGGTTTGAACAAGAACTAAACATAAAGAGGACAACCGCAGGCAACTACGAAATCATGAAAACCACAACCCATAGACGGGTCGGGGTAAAAGAGACAGGAACACACGGAGAGAAAGTGACAGAGACAGACAGAAAGAAGGAGAGGGAAAGATTGAGCAGTGGAGTTAAGAGGCCAGTAGGTGAAAATCGCATTCAGAACCTTGACAACAGTTGACAGGACACGCAGAGTGGAAAAAAGGAGGAGACAATGAGGGAGGGCAGTACACAGAGAGAATTATCTATAGAATACTTAAGCCACTTAATATTTTTAGCTAAAAAAGGTATATGATAAAAAAACATATATTTTCGTATTTTATTAAAAAAAATCCTTTCATTTACATTTATTTAAAATCATTTAACAAGTGGCTTAAAATTATAAGCTACACTGTTTCTTGGCTTTGATAAATTACTTAACTAAACAATTTATTTTATCCTTTCAAACTGTTTACATGAGTTCAAATTACTAAAGATATTTGACATTTAACAGTTAATTTTTTTATGAATTCTAACTCAATAGAATATTGTTGATTCTGAAAAAAGGTTAACAAAATTAGAATTTAAAAAAAAATAACTAAACATGTGCATTGAATTAAATTCATGATATGATGTTACTTTAATATTTGAGTTTAAATCATGTAAAAATAGATTTAAAGGTTGTTACTATTTTCTTAACTTTATAATTAATATTTAGACTTTTATGCTCAGAAATGCTTAGAAACAAGTTTTAGTACTGAAATATGTTAATACGTTTATAAAACCTCGGTTCCTTTTTCTTCTGTGTACCCAATGACGGGCAGTTCAAATAGATAGATAAATGATGTAGATTTAGTAGACAGACAGAATCACAGATGAGAGTAAACTATGAGAGACGGAGAAAACATTTATGCGGAAAGTACGACAATGATACGAAAAATATCCACAACATCAACAATAACAATAACAACAACAAGGATAATGACAGTGACAACAATATAGTATAGAAGGCAACTGAACACACAGAATGGAACATTTGAACGGAATATACTGGTAGAAGAACAGAACAAACGGCGGGAATAAAGCGCTTACCCTAAAATCAATGCCGACCGTGCTGAGGAAATAGCTCGGCACATAGCGACCATCGCGGAAACGGATCAAAAGTGAGGTCTTGCCCACTCCCGAATCGCCCAGCATTATGACCTATTGTGGAGCAGCGGGAAAAGCCAAGAAAAGCCATGTGATACGTAAGTGGGGTAATTTGTTATGTACATTTTTTGGGGGTCGGAGGCATTGTCTTGGTTTAATTTTTCGGCACATTAATTTATGCCAGGCCCTAATGTTTTCAGCTAAATATTTAATGAGCTGCTTATGAATTTTACATGCCAGTCGGGAGTTGCTGAAAGCTCTCGTTTTCAGGCTATAGCAATTGCCGTGAATTTCCCCCTTATACCCTCTACATTTAAAATCCTTTTAAAAGGTCCTACTTCTGCTGCTGCTGTTGACTCTGCTGGGATACCCAAAGTTAGCTCGGTTATGCAAACATTGCAATTGCTGATTTCCCTGGAAATATCGTGTTTGCCATCTGCTAACTAGGCGAAAGTGCTACATGAAAAAACATTGCGCAAACATTTTTTATTTACAGAGAACAAATCCTCTAAAAAGAAGTATTCAACTAATGATAGTACTTCAAATAAATATTTTTAAAATTGATTTAGTTCTACCACTTGTCTGATTTTTATTAAATTCCTGCTTTTACAAAAATGTAAATTCAAATGGTCTTTATTTTTCAACTATTAAATTCACTTGGAATGACGTTCATAATTCTATGGTACTTAGCTTGATTGACTTAAATTGATTATAAACTTGTATCTTCTTCATATACTGGTTTTCAAATTATAATAAAACAAAAGAGTTCCTGGTTATAAACAAATAACATCTGTTTCATACTATGAAGATTAATTTGGACACTGTTTATGTCTTTTAAAGTTGCTTTAATAAAAAAATAATTTTTTTTTCTGTGCATAAAGTCTTTATACCTGGTCTATGCATGGCCGAAATTAAAATGGAAATTGCTTTAATAATTGCTTTCATTGGAGCCAACTTTAAATGCCTTAAAGCTGCCTCGGGGGATTTATGCAAATGCTTTCTCGCATTTCCTCAACATTTAACGAGTGCGACAAAAAATGAAATTTTTATTCAGCTCCTGTTTTATACGTTTTTTATTTTCTCAACTTGGCTTGGCAGCTGGCTGACAGGAAGTAGCCGCCAGGAGTCCTGTCATTATTCCCCAGAATTATTCTAATCAACAGCAGCTGCAGCAGCGACCGAATGTCACAAAAACTTTGCTCTCCAACTTTCCATTCGCTGTGTCTACCCATTTAATTTCCTTTGTCACTCTGCACTTTATTGAATTTTATGACTTTATTTTCGGCTGCTTATGTAAATCACATTGTAAATCAGCCCAAAAGCCGATCAGGGGCGCAACGAATAAAAGCCGACTCGTAAAAGTCGCAGGCAGTCAAACAAAAAGGTATAATATATAAATCAAATTGCGGCCTCAGGAACAAGTTGCTGGGTGGAAATCACTCGACTCCCAGACTCTTCAAGTTGCAAATAAATATACTCATAAGAAAATGTATTTTCTTCGGAACGCCTTTGTTGTCGCCTTTTTGGGAATGCAAATTGGCAGTTGACGAGTTGAATCGAGAAAAGGTTTTCTCTTCACGTCACCTTTCTTTAGTCTAAATGCATTGATTGAGTGTTATTCTTTATTCTGTTCAGAGCTCAAGGCCAATGCCAATAAGAATCAGGTATTATATTATAGCTGGCAAACTAGCGATGCTGATATCATTGAAAGTAAATTGATTCATAACACATCAATATTACTACCCTTACTTACTCTCAAAAAACATAGCTATTTCTATTTTATAAATTTAAAGATGAACTTGTTGTAAAGTTAAAAGTCTCTAATTATATTTAGTTTATTAATATGATAGCGATATTTTCTAGAAAATGGAAAGAAATTCATTATTTGTTTATCTTTTTATATCCCTAACTTTTGAAAATATATTTTGTATCCCTTCTAAGAAAAGAAGCCCTGCTAACTTTTTGAAAACCTTTTAATACTTTTCAGTCGGAAGCTCAGAAAACTACTGCTAACTGCTATTTAATAAACGAATTAATTTAATAAATTGTCGTTTTGACTAGTTATTAAGGCCTTCCCCGGAATCCAGTCTTATTCACCTTGCCCATGATGTCGAAGTCGTCCTCCTCCTCCGGCGCATTGTTGGATGATGAAATCATGCGGATGAGTGCTCGTCCGGCGTTCTTGCAGAGCGTGGCGCTGGCTCCCTCGTTTCCCGGCCCCGGAGCAGGTGGAGCAGGCGCAACAGATGGCCTGGCCACTGTGGTTTCACCACCACCAGATCCTGCGCCTCCTCCTCCTCCTCCGGAATCCAGGAGTGGCTGTTGCTCCGCTCCAGCGGCCAATCGCACGCTATTTAAACGGGCCATGAAACCATTGCCAGATGGCAGATGATGCGATGTCTGTGGTGGCTGATCCCGGAATATGGATGCCGAGGTCATGTATTCCGGCAGCAGGGGCTGCTGGGAGATGGACTGCTGGCGCTGGTGGACAATCACACTGGGTCGCCGCTTCGGATAGCCATCGTCGTCGGAATCGTCCGAGGCAATGCCGTTGATCTTGTCCAGCGTCTTGGGCGGCAATTGGCCCGGTGTAATGTGCTGCCAGGTGGGCTTCACCAAGGACTCGCGACGAGTGGGCGAGCCACTGGCCAATGGCGATGGACTGGCCACCGAAATGGAGGGCTTGCGATTACCCAACGGACTGGCGATGGAATCGCTACGATATCTGGTCTGCTGACGACGCATCTTTGAAACCTCTTCACTTCCTGCTGATTGGCCTGATTCTATATTTAACACACGCACATAAATCAATAATCTCGGCTCAGATGTCGGTTGTATCTTCATTATTGATGGGCAAAATCAACCCCCAAGGCGGAAGTTCCCCAAATAAAGTTTCGTTGGGTCTCAGATACATATATACCCGCACACACTCATAATTACACACAGCCATTGCCGACAAAGTCATCAAAACTCATTAAAAAGCATAAACAAGATGGCAACTTTCATTATCCCCACAGTTGTGATGCCGCTTTAATAAATATATATATATGTTCAGTAAAAGTAATGGAAAATACGGGAATTTTTGCACATAAAACAATGAACGACCAGGTGCAAATTGAATGAAATTTCGTCGCTTTTTCTTTTAAGCGAAATGAAATGAAAACCGAAACCCACAAATGCTTCAGGGCCACAAAACAACAACTGGCGTTGACAACAGGGTGAAAGTGGGTGGTGAAAGTGGGAGGGGGCGGAGGGGGGAGGTGGTTGAACAGCGGGTGTGTTGTTGTGGGCGGCTGCGGTTACTGTCGCTAAATCAACAGTTGGCAAGCAAACCGCAAGGCCGCCGAAAGCGAAAGCAAAATCATCGGACCGAAGCTGTGGCTAACTAAATTTTTGGCTAATTATGCATTGGCTCGTCCTGCAGGAGAAAGTTGGCCATGGAGAGGGGGGCTGGGGAAAGGGGGGAAAGGGGGTGGTGGGAGGCAAAGGTTCGTATGGCTACAATCCTGTGATTAACTCGCGCTCATTAGCAACCACAAAATGCCCTGGCGGCTGTTTAACTAAGTGATTACAAATCGCTTGTACGTATCTTTGGCAATTTTCTTAGCATACTTCTTGGGGCCAGAAAAAGTTCAGCTGAAAAGGTGTTTCATTTTCATTACTATCACTCAATTTACTGTTTAATCGTTACGGTTTTTCAAGTTATAGCTGAATCAAAAACAATATGGCTCGATATTTTCCCTATGCAATTTAAATGTAAGGACATCTTTAAAAGTCAATTGAGTATTTAAAATTTGAATTTAAATATATAGATTAAATGAATAGATTTTAAATAATTCTGGAATTTAATAAAAATTACAATCAAATTTAACTTATAGAACAGATAATAAATTTCTTAGAAAAAGTTATTTACTTTATGTAGACGTGTAAAAACAATAAAATATTTGAAACAATGTTAACTTATGAATGTTTATTTACTCATTTATAAAACAATTAGCCTTAAAACAGATATAAATTTTAAATTTAAAACAGATACTAATTTTAAATTTAAAACAACTCTTTTAAATTCAAACCAATAATTAAATCAATAAGTAAACTAAACTCTTTAAATTAAATTTAAATCGATAAAAAGCAGTGAATAGATTTTAAACTCAGCCAACATCCCAATTCTAGGCTATTTCATGTACCAAAAGTTGACAAGCTCTAATTTACTTTGACGTTTTTGGGTCTTGCCGGCAGCAAGGCGAAATTCCGCCGAACTTTAATTTAATTTGCAGCCCAACAAATTGCCAAATGCCAATACATATATCAATATGGTTGTTCGGATTTCAAGCTCCAGACAAAACCCTTTTGACGTGGGTGGTTTACGGGTGGATTCGGGGTGAACTATTGAAACTGAGGGCCCGCAGATCCGTGCCAATTTTCCCATCCATTCTACACGGCTGTCTGCAACCTGTCGGTTCGCCTTTATTTCTTTCTCCTCGTCAAAGGTGCCTTAAAGCGTTCTTTTTATGGCGTCCTTCGGCGTGGGTGCTTAAATGCAGGTCAACGGCAGAGGACACGTGCGAATTGTTAACTACTTTCTGAAGGCGGTTAAAACGGGAGCAAAGTGCTCGGGATGAAATGGCAATGAAATCGGATAACCCTTAAGCCTGGAACAAGTTGTTCAAGCTAAGAAGTGTTTATACATATACTTTGGAGCCTTTAATCAAGAAAAAGCTGTTAAAAGAATTCATTTGTTCGAATTACCATTAAAATATTTCAAAGATGGGGCTTATAAATTTCTAAAGAATTCTATATGCTATATTATTTATATAGCTTTAAGAAAAGTTTGCCAAGTTTTGTTCGAATTTTAAATAATTCGAGATGAAAGCATATATCAAGAAAAAAAATTCTTAAACAAACCATTAAGTAAAATGTTATTATTATACCCGTTACTCGTAGAGTAAAAGGGTATATTGTATTCGTGCAAAAGTATGTAACAGCTAGAACGAAGCGTTTCCGACCCTATAAAGTATATATATTCTTGATCAGGGTCACTAGCCGAGTCGATATAGCCATGTCCGTCTGTCCGTCTGTCCGTCTGTCTGTCCGTCTGTCTGTCTGTCTGTCTGTCTGTCTGTCTGTCTGTCCGTATGAACGCTGAGATCTCGGAAACTATAAAAGCTACAAGATTGGCATTTTGCATGCAGATTCTAGGAGTTCCTACGCAGCGCAAGTTTGTTTCAAAAAGGTGCCACGCCCCCTTTAACGCCCACAATCGCTTATATACGATTTTAAAATTTAAATATTTCGGAAAAGTAAAAATGCAGTTTTATTGTGTTTATCAATACCTATCGAAATGTAGAAGAAATTTTTCAAATCGGACCATTCGTTAAAAAGTTATGCGTGATCAAAGTTTCTATCTCCATCTCCCTCGCACTCCCTTTACCTGAGTAACGGGTATCTGATAGTCGGGGCACCCGACTATAGCGTTCTCTCTTGTTAAAATTATAATTAACTAAATTCCGAAGGAAATGTCAGTAATTGAAAGACAATACTCAGTCTACCTAACATTTATAATTTCAGGACACAAGTCTTGTTGAAAAAAACATGTTAAATAAAACGAAAAGAACTTGGAAATCGGATAGCCCTTGAGCTTGTCGAGGACAAATTGTTCAGGCCGACAAAAGTATAATTTGACCAATTACGGTTCAATTCTTGGCAACGCACTCAAAGGGAGACCTTTAATTTGCCCAAATTCAATGTAACTCCATACAATAATATATATGGCCTGTGGACAATTCGTTTTCCTTTATGCAAATATGGCAAATGATATTCACAAAGTTTACCCTTTTTTCCGGCCTGGGGGTCAATGAGGTGTCAATCCATGAAACAACCTTTCGAGCAACCATCGAGCAATTTGCTTTAATCAACTTAAAACGCAATGCCTAATAACAAAAGTTTTTAATTGGGTTGTCGCTGTTTTCTGCCCAGCTGATGCTTTTCCTTTTCCTCTTTTATCCTACACGGAAAATAATATAAATAATTTCAAACAACAATTTAAGGCTTATTTATCCATCAGGATTGAAGTTTTTAATAGTGACTCATGTTGTAATTTATTCAAATAGATTATTTTTAAGTTTTTTTAAAGAATAAAATAATAAGAGTATGTATAACAAAATGAAAAAATCAGAATCCTCATTATTAAATTAATAAGAATTAAATTAATTTGAGAGATATTTTCATTATTCAATGACATTTTTCTCTGTGTATGCTTTCGCTGCTGGTGACAACAACAAAAAGCGGACAGACAAAAAAAAGGAAAAGAGAAATTTCCTTTCTCTGAGTACACGAAATTTGTTCAAAGTTAAAAGTTAAGCAGAATTTTTCAGTTCCTTTCATAAATTGGGTGAGCAGGAAGGGAGTGCAGGGTAAGTGGGCGGGGAATCCCCATTTGCAGCGTTCCTTGTGTATAATTATACAAAGCGAAAGGAGAAAGTGGGCTGGCAGGAGGAGGAAAGTGAAAGGCAGTCTCGACCAGCCAGTGTGACGGTTCATTGCACAGCCACCGGAACGCCCACGCAGGACACAATGCTCATGTAAGCGAACAAGTCCGTCCTGCCCACGCACCCATACAAACCCGACTACGAAGCCAAATAGGACACACACGGATGCTAAGGACACACTGACTTTCATTCAATTCTGCGTTCAATCACGCAGCTTTAACGGCAGCAACAAGGAGCAGACAGAAACGCCAGACAATAGTTTCCTGATTGCATGAACAGATTTAAGGAAATGACGAGCCAGATGGATGAACTGCCGCCCACGCAGAAGGATATACAGTTGGTCTCAGAATAATAGTCATTTCTTGGGATTACTTTAAAGCAACAATTGTGGGAAATTTTAACCAAGTACATGTTGGATTATAATTTGGCATTTATTTTTAAAAAATTATAGTTTCAATTAATTTGGAGCTCGATGCCATTATAATAATCAACAATAAAATAAAATAACACTTAACCATAAAAAAGAAATTTAACATTTTTTCTGCTTAGTCAGTAAAATTTATAAGAAATTAATTTTTAATGGGATATCAGCGGAAACAACAATTAAGTTACATTTTGGTGACCCTGACTTACTAATATGCTTTATTGCTTATAATATTTACATCAAAAAACAGAATTTAAGGTAATTTACTTCTCAACATTTTATATTTAATTCTTTATTAATTTTGGACTTTTAAATTTTTTTAAATTTAAATTATAAATGGACTCTATTTGAAAGAAACTGTACAAATAGTTTTAATTTACGTTTCAGAGTTTAAATGCTCCTGCTAGCACACAGCTATTTTTCTGGTCATTTATGTAGAGAAGCCCACTCAAAACGGGTGGAGATTTTGAAGGGAAACTTCAATTTGAGGATAGAGCCAATTGACAGGACAAAAGGCAAAATGCTTTCGCGCAAAGCGATTTCATAAAACTTTCAAGGCAGCCACACAACAATTTACTGGCTGTGCATCTTGTGGAAGACACGCTGACGGGTGTCCTGGAGGCGGGGTTCTTTTGGAAGGAGGACATGCCCCCCAGGAGATTTGTGCTAGTAATCGGCTTAAATGGCGATTCAAGTGACTTCCACCCCGAGGGGGTGCCCCTGGAAATTTCGAAACGACAAGAAACAGGACACCTGTGGCAGTGAAAAAAAAGTTTGTGGGGTTTCGGAACCCCATTCTTACTTCCAGCTTTGAAGTTTTTGAAAATCGCAGGGTGAGGCCAAAACATTTTTAATTGCGAAAATCGATGGCTCGTTTATCTCTCTCTAAAAATCCTTGGAAACCACAAGCTTCTTAAAAAAAATACTTAAATTCCAACGAAATGTGAAATAATAAACGCTTTGCGGTAAAGAGAAAATTTCATGGCAAAATCGAGGGGAGATACTAACCATGGCCTTCAGCAGTTTGCATTCATGCGCAACTATCGGCTCTCGCATAATTAATGCGCATTTGAAAGAAACTCAAGTTCAAGTAAACAACAATAGACTCTGGCCAAGACGCTACAGACATCAGCAGCAAGGATATATAGGCTTATATTCAATTGCATTGTTAACAATTCCAATTAAATACTGAGAAATAGGACCTGGTCAATTCAGTCGAATATCCATTTTTCACTTTATCAAAGTTTAACAAATTATCATTGAACTTTTCCGGCCAATTAGTAAATGTTTCCGTAGAAAAAAGTAATAATAAATGCGAATTTATTTCAGCATTCATAAATTTCATATTTAATGCTTGACATTCATTATAAGCTTCCAACATTATTACATTTTAAATTGGTTGAATTTAGAAGTAGATCAAAAATGTTGACAGGTAATTTAATTTTACAAAACTATTGTTTTAAAATTTATAAACAACGTTAGATTGCTAAACTAGTTAAACAAATGAAAGTATTTTTAATTAAATTAAATAGTTTTAAGCAAATTAAAAACGAAAAGAAATGAATTGAATTTAAAAGCTTATCCAAATGGTATCCTACTTTTGTATAATCATTTTTTTAATATTTAAACACAAAAAGTGTAATTTTTAAGAATTTATTTGTACAACATTAAATTCAACACAAACTTCCCAAAAAAAAACTCTTATTTTTATCCCAACTCCCACGTCATTTTCTATGCTGTTTCAGTGCTAGCTTCAAACAGATTATCCAATTTTAGGGTAACCGAAATTCCCAAATCCTCTAAACGCCACAAAAAACCAACAAATGTAGTTCGAAACATTTTCCGCTGCTCTTGAATTATTAAATGCCAAACGGGAGCCAGTCTGCCATAATTGTTTTCATTTATTTTTAAACTCGCGCAGGACCTTGTCAATTTACCCAGACACCACAAAACCAACACACACACACGCAGGATGGGTAGAGGAAATTGAAGCGCCAAAAATAGCAAATAAAGAGGACTGCATTTTGAATGCAAGTGCTTACAAAATGTTTAAATATGTCTACAAAATTTGTTAAATGTTTAATAGGCGCACCAGAATAGTCAAACACAAAACAGCACTTCACTTTACTTGGCTCGGAGTTTCGCGACGATTTTATATTTTGGGCTGGAGCAGCTTGAACAGTTTTCCACCTGGCTGGGAAATTCGGAAAAGCCACAAGGGATGCGCGTCCGTTGCTTATCGAGGCGTCAGTGTTCAGACCCACAGCTAGACTGACTGGCGGACTCAGGATAACTCGCATCACTCCCATATCACTCGCAGCCGCCGAGTCCTTCGGCTTCGCTTCGCTTTCAATTGAGTTCGAGTTGCAGCTCGTGTGGCTTCGGTTTTTTTGGCTTTGGCTTTGGCTTTGAAACAGCAGCAGCAGCCCTGGCCTAGAAACGTGGAAGGTTGCGCGGCAGGGTGGGGTTCGGGGCCTCACGACTCAGGTGCCTGTTTGTTAGGGTTCACCGACTTGTTGCCTAAATATTCCCCGATTTCCATCCCAAATTTCATGTCAATATCATGCCTGGCTTAAAAGATACACACTGTTTTCGATAAAGAAAAATTAAAGGCCTTACCAGTAAAGGATGGCAAAAAAAAAACAATAATTAAAATATAAATGTTTCATTAAATCAAGAAATTTAAAATCGCTATATATTTATGATATATGTACTTCCATTAATTGGTAAATCGTTTAAAAACTTTTTTGTTTTGTTAAATGTTTTGTAAGAAAATAATAATTATTTTGAAATATTGAATATAATGTATACAAAAGAAAGAGCTTAAAAAAGTCGATTTTAATTTAAAAATTAAATTACTATGTAAGCATACATAGAACTTTAAATACTTTTTTAAATTGGTAAAAAAAAAAAGTGCAAAAAAAAGTACTAGTATAAAATTTTGGATGAAGCTTAAACCTCGATCAAATTATTATTGAAAGACTAACTTCATTTATTTTAATTTTGATCCTTGACCCACCCTTGCATAAATGGTTGTGCTTCGGAGTTGAGCACGCGCCAAGTTTTGCAATGAGGGAAATGGGGGAAAAGCGGGCTAGCAGGAGCAGGAGCTGCAGCATCCAAGGCAACTGAAAACCGTTGCACTTGAACTTCACTGGCGGCCATTGCGGTGGCTGTCTTCCTGTGTCTCTGTGCGTGCCACAGTGTGCGAGAAAGTGTGGTGAGTGAAAGTGAAAGGCAGCAACAGGTCGCGTGTTTGTGTGAGTGAAAGCTGCACACACTGTCATTTCCAGCCAGCCATCAGTGTCAACAACGTGTAAAAGGTCGAACGCTGCGATTTATATTTATCCTAAGGGAAAAAAATCAATTTGGGGGATTTCAACATGCCCGCCAAAAATAGAAAATCTCCGGCGATTACCCCAACAATATGTTGCCTATTTAGCGGGGTACAAGCTGCACGGCAAAAAAGATTTTAAAAAGTTCACTACTGTTGATATGGTATTTATCTTTAAGATTTTTTAAATCTATTTTAAGGACTGGGTACTTATAATTATAGCACATATTATTACAAATAAAACTAGTGGGCGGATTTGATAGCCAATTGAAGTAAGACGAATCCCTATCGAAACATACATATGTTGAAGCTGATATTAGTGTTAAAAAAAAACCTAAGGTGCGAAAAGTTTAAATATTTAATCAAGAACCTTAAAATGAATATTAGCTCATAATAATGTTGTCTTTCCATTTTTGTAAAGATATTTTTATTTCCTAAGATTTTTAGTTGAAAAGCAAAATACATTTGCAAATATTGCTGAAAGCAAAATCAATTGCAAATCCACCAATTTAATGGAATTGAATTACTTCGTTTTTTCTCAGTGTCAAAGCGAAGACTTTAGTTACCAATAGGTACTGGCCAGCTGTTCCCCAATTACACACACAGCAAGCTAATGCACACAGACATACTCGTACTACATAAGCGAACCCATTCGAATGTGCGTCAATACATGGGCGGTCACAGGGGTCGGCTAGGGGGGCGGGGTCAGGCGGGGCGGGCTACTGTGCGGGTTTCATGCAGCAGGCAGCGCTACGGATTCGCCCACAATCGCAAGTCTAAGGCTACGCGGTTTTCGGAATCTGAGTATCTCCCACGAACTTCTGTAACTCGAACCACCATCTGTCATCATATGAAAATTTATTACTTTCTATATTTAACTTTCATGCTGGGAGCTCGGTCAAATTTTTTTGGAGCTTTTTGCCTTTCAAAGACATTTATATTAATTATTAAAATTAATTAAAATTTTTTTTATAAATTCTTTTATTATTGAGTCTAAGAAAAAAGAAAGTCTGATAAGAACTACACGAAATATTTAACATTGTTCTTAATTTTCTCATTAAAACTATTAGTTTAAAAATTATAATTTTAATTTTATTTAATTATAGTATAAACTGTTAAAAAAAATGTATAATTTGTCTTGAAATGCACGTTTTTTTTGCCATGTTATGAAATTATATGAAATTTTTAGATTGTTTCGAGTTACAGAAGAGTAGTCTTGGGGGTATTTCGACTTACTGATGTTGTACTGTTTCAAAAACTCACCGTCAAAGCGATGCCTACTGTGGCGGAGAAGGAACCCAGCCGGAACTCGCCGGTGTTGTATTTGACCAGAAAGGAGGTCTTGCCCACTCCCGAGTCGCCCAGCAGGATCGTTTTGTGGTTGACCGTGTCGTCGAAGGGCTGCTGGTGGGCGGTGGGCGGGGCCGTGTGCATGTCCACCTCGTCGTAGCGATACGATCGCCAGCCATCGCTATAGTCGTTCTCGTAGTCCTCGTCCCCGTACGCATACATCTGCATGGCCTCGCGGGAGGGTCGATAGCCCGGATATCCGGTGGCTGAGCGCTGAACGGGCGCCATGATGGCATCGTCGTGGTAGTGGTGGCTTCCGGTCAAGCTCAGCTGGCTGTGGTGGTGGTGGTGCGGATTGTGATGGTGGTGGTGGTGCTGCTGCTGCGTCGTTGCTGTCGATATCGATGCCGAGACAGAGGCGGGCGCTGCGGGGGGTTGTAGCAGCCATCGCCGAAGGGTCGGCGACGCAACTCCTCGATCCTCGCCTGGGTGGTCTCCGCATCCTCGAAGACGTCGTCGCTCATGCTGCTGGCGTCGTCGGGATGCGCTGCTCCCGCTGGCGCTCCTCCCTGACCTACTCCTCCTCCCATTCCCACCGCTGTGGTGGCCATTGGTCTCGATTTATTGGCTTGTGTCTTGGCCAAAAGCTTTGCTTGAGCTTTCGTCCTGAGCTTTCCCTTAAGGCTTTTACATTGGTATAGTTCCACGGAGATTCACTGGGTTTTTACTTTCCCTTTCTGTTGGCTAACTTTCTTTATGACTTTTTATTTTATATTTAATGCCGCTAAAATTTTAAAAGTAATTCTGTCAAATTATTTTGTGATCTTCCCCGAAAGCTATGGCTTAGGTTTTATTCCAAAGAGGAGTCCTCGTAACGGTTGTTTGCTTGCTTTCCCGTTTTTAGGATTTGGCCGAAAGATCTTTTTTATTAATATTATTTCCTTTTAATACTTGTTAAGCTTGTTTTGTCGTTACTAAAATTCTAAGCGTTGCTGTATTTTTACTCAGTGTGTTTGATATTTAGCGCCTCTTTCACCAAAAGCTCAGGTTAATTATTTAACCGGAGATTTTCTACTTTTTCTGCCTTCTCCTTTTTGTTGAGCTTTATACTTTCTCTTTGCGGCACTTTCCTTGCTCTCTCTCTTTATGATTTTGACACTTGACGTTGTTTTAATCAAAATTTCGCGATAAGCTTTCACCCCAAGCGTTTACCACCCCTCTCCTTAGAGTTTTGACATTTCTTTTGAGCTTTCTCTCAGCGGCATTTCTCTGCTTTCTCTTTATGACTTTGACATTTACCGTTGTCCGTCGCTGCCGCGGTCGACGTCGCTGCCGTCCGGTTGTGTGGCACGTTTTCTGAATGAATTCGCTTTTCGGGGCTTTCGGCGCGGGTGGGTGGGCCGTTGCTATTATTATTTCCTATTCGTTATAAGCTTAATATTTTCGCCAGCCTTATCAGTTGGCCAGTTTTCCTAATCTCTATTCGTTAGTTTTTGCGTTCCGTACAATTGAACTAGGTATTGGTTTTTCCCCTTTTTGTGGGTTGTTGGTGTTTTGTTTGAAGCCACTAATTAAATGTTATCTATGTAAATTGTAACTAGCTAAACATATTGACTAATATTTTATAGGTTATCCGCTAATTGGTGCTGTTGTCACTATTAATTAAGGTTTTATTTATTTATACGGTTTGCAACGATTTGCTTGGTGTTTTTTATTTGGTTAAAGCTTTTGGTTAATTTTTTCCGTTTTTATCGTTAAATATAATGACTCTCCATTGGTGTTGCGTCTCTCCTCGAAAATATTGCGATTGATTTGAGGGGGCTGGGTGTTGTTGTTCTAGGTGTTGTTGTTGTTGTTATTTCACTATCACAGCATAAATAAAATAATGTCATCGTCGTTGCCGCCCCCGCCACGCGAACCCTCGGCCAACATACAACTGGTAAAAAATATCTGCAGTCGCCACTTCCTTTCGACATCCTTTCCGAGCTTTTTGAGCGCTCTTGTGCTTTCTCTCGCACTCTCTCTTTGCGGATTTGACATTTAGTTCAAGAAAGAAAATTAAACTGGTTCATGTTCTAATTAAATTAATTAAAAGTATAATCAAATGGAAATATGGGTCAGAAAAACCATCTGTCAATATGGTATTTGGATTTGCAAATCGTTATAATTAAACAAGTTTTTCGTAACACTCTTTGGCGAAGCTACAAGTAATTCTTGAAACATGTATCCTTATAGTAAATAGATATTCTTTACAATATAAACATTCCAAACATTTGTTGCTCATAAATAACTTTTTTGAAAAACCTTTTAAAGGTGTCCGTTAGCTGATTTCGACCTTAAATATTAATTTCAAATTATTTTGACTTAGTGTGACCAGGCTACCAAATGGTAAGTGTCAACGCTAAATGGTCCTCCAAGTTATCACCCAGGTTCGAACCCCCGTTATAAAAGTTGCCATATTCTTGTTGGTATTATTACGCATATTATTTGGTATTTATTAGTACATTTCTCACTGTCGATGGAACAATCTGGTCTGCCATGGTCACTCTAAACAAGAACAAAAACGCGAACGCAGAATTGTAAACCTGAAAATTGCAAATAATACAAATAATAAAACAACCCACGGCGATAATTAATTAAAAATGACTGGTCGCGGCAAGGGGGGCAAGGGGAAGGTGGTGCGCGAAAATGCGACGGACGATAGGGACGATTTTCTCGTGTACGCGGCTGAGAAAATAATCCAAAAGCGGGTTAGAAAGGTGAGCGAGCGTAAACAAATTCGAAAAAGGCAACAAAAACGAAGAGCCCCAAAAAAAATGTAGAACGCAAAATGCGCAGCACACGCTGGATATATCTATATTCCACAAGGTCACATGTCCTTCGACATTTTTTGGGCAGAGGACATCTGCTGCAGCAACCACCATTTGCACGTTGCATGTGTGTGTGTGTGTGTGCGTAGTGCGTGCGTGTGTGTTGTGTGGCGTGTGTTTTTGTTGATGGAAAATCAATTAGTTGTCTAAGAAAATGCAATGTTTCCCCCTCTATTTTCATCACTTTCCAGGGCACTGTGGAGTACCGCGTAAAGTGGAAGGGCTGGAACCAGCGCTACAACACCTGGGAACCGGAGGTAAACATCCTAGATCGCCGCCTAATCGACATCTACGAGCAGAGTAACAAATCTTCGGGCACGCCCTCCAAACGGGGCTTGAAAAAGAAGGAAAAGGAGCCCGATCCGGAGCCGGAATCCGAGGAGGATGAATACACATTCACCGGCGATGATGTCGACAACAATCAGGCCACCACCTCTACGGCTGGCCAGGATTCGGAGCCCAAAAAGGAAAAGAAGCACCATCAGCATCATCACCACCACCATCACCACCACATCAAGTCCGAACGCAGCAGTGGACGGCGCTCAGAATCCCCTCTGACCCACCATCATCATCACCACCACCACGAATCCAAGCGGCAGCGTATGGATCACAGCTCCTCCTCGAACAGTAGCTCCACGCACAACTCCTTTGTGCCCGAACCCGATACCAACTCCTCCAGCTCCGAGGATCAGCCGCTTATTGGTACCAAGCGAAAGGCAGAGGTGCTCAAAGAGTCGGGCAAGATTGGTGTTACGATTAAGACCTCGCCAGATGGCCCTACCCTGAAGCCTCAGCCGGCACAACAGGCAGCGCCTATACAACAGCAGCAACAGCCTTCCCAAGATCAGCAGCAAACGGAGAAGGTAGCCGGCGATGCAGTTACCCCGCTTAAATCTGAGCTGCATGTCACCCCACTTGCCATTGAAGCCACAACAACAACGCCCGCTGAGTCTGGAGCTGAGGAAGAAGAGCTGGCCAGCGAGGAGGGCAACCCGCAACCACCACAGGTTACTCCAGAGAACAACAACATACCAAAACCGTGCAACAACCTGGCCATCAACCAAAAACAGCCACTGACTCCTCTTTCTCCGCGAGCTCTGCCGCCGCGCTTCTGGCTCCCGGCCAAGTGCAACATATCCAACCGCGTAGTCATCACCGATGTCACCGTCAATCTGGAGACCGTCACCATACGCGAGTGCAAAACGGAGCGGGGTTTTTTTCGCGAGCGCGACATGAAGGGCGACTCGTCGCCAGTGGCTTGAGCTACGGCCCAAACAAAAGCCGGTAAAACGAAACGGAAACCTGAAACAATTGTAAATAGACAAACCAAAATGGGGGAAAGTTGAGAGGAGCACTAACAAATCCGCACTAGATGTTGCTAAGCATTTTCTCTTTAAGACGTAATTTATTTATTGTATTTATTTATAGTGTAGTTATTAGTTTGTTGTTTTATTACAATGTTTAATGTGCAAGAGTAGCTTAAGCAAGCGCAATTCGCTCATTTACTAAAAGACTGATTTTTTACTTCATTATTTACCCCTACAATTTAATTTTTACCATATCGGCAATATTTTTTTAATGTACATTCAGATTATAATTGTTTATTTCTTTCCGCAATGTCGCTCATTTGAGCTCTGACGGTCTTTTGGTGAATGAACGGAATGCTGCGACTGCTTAACTTGCCACTGCAATAGATTGTAAAACCTGCAGCATAGATATGTATGTCGTACATATATTTATTTACCACATATTGTATATTTTTCTATAACACTTTGAATCTGATTGAGAACAACACAAGACACTCATATGCTACAAAACTCCATGCGAAACCGAAGCAATTGTTGATTACGCTTGATATACAATTATATACAAATGAAAAAGCATATAATCGAGTATGTCACCATCTTTGCCAAGTTGGTATCCCAATGTTGTAATTGTTTAATATTATATTTCCTCGCGCCGACTGATTTTACAAAAGAAACCCCAAAAAGATATAGATGTAGTTTGATAAATATTTTTAGAATCTAGCTAACCACAATCTCCACTTAATATTTATTTTAAAATGTTCTACTATTAGCAGTCATCCAAGGCTCAAGTGCTGACTTTATGGGTTCGGAGCGGTGCAGTGCACAGATAATTCCAAATCGATCCCATTGACTCAATACTTAACTCCTATGATTATTACACTATTTTTTATTGCTTTACAAACGGAAACTTCGTGGGAACTGTGAGGAATTTAATAACCTTGTTTATTTTGCATGGTTCCTGTCGGTCGGACTCCATTTGTGTTAGCTATTTATTGGCTAGTTTTAGTTACGATGCTAATTCCACACAAAAAAAAACAACTCAAAACAAGTATTTTGAAGTTTGTATTGTAGTGTTTAACTTTAATGTTATTGCCGGTATCGATTGTACATAATAAATTAAATAGAAGCAACTAAATGAGCTATGTTTGGGTATTTTATACTACTGAGATTGATTTGTGTATAATATCCAGTCAATATCATCAATCTGCGTCAGGGGAAATGTAACACTAGGAGTATGGTCTATCAATCAACAAGTTTGTACACTTTTTATATGTCCAGGTCAAGGTTAAGCCGATCTCATAAGGGCCGGTACTTGTTAATGAATGAATTAATAATTGGCGCTACCTTCTCCGGCTCGTTGAGGTGGACGTGGTGGGTTCCTTCAACTTCGTGGAATTCGAAAAGGGGATTCTGTTGCAGTTCTGCCAACACTTCATCGAAGTACTCCTTGCGTTCATAGTAAGGAGCCTGCAGGGCCTTGATGAACAAATGTGGGCACTTTATCCTGCGTGCCATCTCCATCGGAACCTCCTGGTGCAGAGTGTAGAATAGCGATGACTTCAGTCGGTTGTCGCGGGAGAAGTAATACTTGTGGGGCTCGTGTGTTGAAGGCCTGCAGTTCCGCTGCAACAGATACTTGCAGGCATCCAGGGATACGGATTTATTCGAGCCTTCGTGCAGCCTGGTCACCAACTGATCCCATTCGTAGGCGGGCGGCTCAGAGCCGCTCTTAAGGCGTCGTTCTAGCTTCAGGGTGGACTCCAGTCGTTCGGCCAGCGCATCCACAATACTGCGAGAACTCCGAACGGGAGGTTTTAGCACATCCAGGCCCACAAACAAATCCACTTTGTCGGGAAACAGAGCACTGAAAACAAATCCATTGATGGAACTCATCGAGTGTGCCAGTATGGAGATCTTGTCCCAGTTGTAGTCGTCCATCAGTCGTCGGGTGATTAGCACCAGGTCGATGGAGTGGTACGAGGTACCAGCCGGCAGCCAAGAGGAGAGTCCATGACCCGGGGCGTCGATGCTCAGGAAAGAGAGATGCGAAGGCAGGAGCGGAGCCAAAGTATCGAAGGTACCGGCATTATCCTGCCAGCCGTGCATGCCGACAATGGGTCGCACGTGCTTCGGTCCATACCATTTCCCCGATATGTGTCCCCATGGAACGGGTATGCTGATTTCCTCAAACTGCCGAACGGAGAGTCATGCTGATTAGTCAATAAATAATCATCATCTGGATAACCTACGTGTTTGGTAACGATCTTCAGGGGCTTAGTGGGTCCACTGCTGGAGTTTCGGACATTTGGTAGCTGTTTTAGCAGGCGAAGACCTCTTGACACCTTCATTTCAAGGCAAAATATGATTTTCGTTGAGTAATGACACCGTTGCCTACCTCGAATAATGCGCGACTAATGTTCTGGCTGTGATTTCACCACACATGGATGGCGATGAGGCAGCTTTGCCAGATGAACTTTGATCTGGTACGTAATATCTGAGAAAACTATGTTTTAGCAAGGTTTTTAATCTTGTCATTCGCTGGCGGCTGACGACAACTGACAACACTAGACATAAACTTGTTTCATATGTTTTTTAACACTGCGTTTTCGGTTATGCGTAAGGACTGTATAAGCTTTGTTGGAAAAACAAAAAAACGAATTAGCTTAGATATTTGAAACGTATAATTATTAACCCTACTACCTTAATATTGAATGTTAGTAGGTAAAATAACAAATACTTTAAATTCAATTAAATAAAAAAAATAATCGTGGCCAAATATTAAATTTGCGATATACACTCCGCATAAACGTTGCCTCCCATTCTAAAGTTTAATGAACAGCTGTAGATAAGTGTTTATTTTTCGTTTGTTCCGTATTTTCACCTGTTTGGTATGCGAATAATTGATAATTAAAGAAAAATATTAAACCAAAAGCAGTAAATCAAATCTGGCGGTAAGAAATATAAGTAAAACTTACCGATTAAGAGAAAACAAAAAGAAAACGTGAGTGATAATTCGCGACGGTCGCCAAGGAGATTACCTTGACCTTTGTCACTTTCAATGAGACGCCGGCATCGATATGGATATTATATTTGAACTTTTTAACGATTTCTCTTTAATGTTTACTTTTGGATTTTATGTGTTTCTCCGCCTGTTTTCGTGCATTTGTTAACTAATCGCACTGCTAATCTCCAGGTCGTTGCTGATAAGCACCTAATTTAGCTAAACTTTGGAATTGGAGCTCATTCGGTTTTCGGGCAGAAATGGACTCGGACGACAACTCTAGTGGCACCACGGGCAGTGATCTCGGCCAGCGTTATCGACATGCAGGGGATTTAACTGGCGAAGCCCCGACTAGACCCGTAAGTGTACTTTGAACCACTTTGCTTCAATTTTCCTAAACTTAGACGCTTAAAAACTATTTTTTCAATAAGTTTGCAAAGGAATAAAATATGTGCTACTCTACAAATATGTATATTGGCTGCAGGCCTCCAAAGAACCATTCATATCTGACTAAAACTTTTCTTATACCTTTCTTTGGAAAGTACATACCGTACATACAAGTGTGCGGGTATCAGAATTGAGAATTTTTGGTTTCGCTTTCAGAAACAACAGTACAACAAGTTATACATTACTTTCATTGCCTAAGTTTGTATATTTTTTTAATGATATTTAAAATAAACTTTGGAGAAATTTGTTTGTTTACGGATTTAATTTAGATCCTTCAAGTGTATTCTTAATTAACTTGGAATATTAAGATTCCCTACAGTCATTTTAATAATTTGTCTCATATGCTTTTTTTCCAACCTTTTAGTTCGCGGAGATTAGCATTACTGTTCCGTGGGGACATATATCCGGAAAATGGTACGGCCCGCAGAATGTCCAACCAATTTTGGGACTCCATGGCTGGCAGGATAACGCTGGCACCTTTGATCGCCTGATGCCGCTGCTCTCGCCGGACGTGGCCTTCCTTTCGATCGATCTTCCTGGCCATGGCTTATCATCCCGATTGCCCGATGGCTGCTACTACAACTCTGTGGATAATCTATATGTGATCCGACTGATCATGAAGCAGTACAAGTGGGAGAAGGTGTCCCTTGTAGGTCACTCAATGTCGTCCATTATTGCCTTTGTGTTCGCCGCCGTCTTCCCGGACAAGGTGGACATGATAATTGGGATTGATGCCCTGAAACCTCATCAGCGTCCTTATCCCTCTGTTATAAGGACAATGGAGACCCGTCTGGATGAGTTCCTGCGAGAGGACGAGCGGAATCGAAGCAAAAACGAACCGCCAAGCTATTCCTACGATGAACTAATCGAAAGGGTGTATATCGGCACCTTCCATTCGGTGAACAAGGAGCACTGCAAGCATTTGATGGCCCGCAATATTGGAAAGTCGGAGAAGTACCCAGACAAGTACTACTTCTGCCGCGATCGACGGCTGAAGTTCTACAACTATGCCATTGGCTCCCAGGAGCTGTGCGTTGAGATGGCCAATCGCATCACATGCCCTTACTTGTTTATCAAGGCCGCCCAGTCCTCATATTTCGAGGACAAGAAGTACTACGACGAGGTGCTGGATGTACTGCAGAAGAAGCCCAACTTCGAGTACCTGGAGGTTAATGGCTCGCACCATGTGCACATAAACGATCCGGAGGCCATTATCGCACCGGTCAACAACTTTATTCAACGCTTCGGACCGGCGGCAGTGGCTGCTTCTCGTCAGAAGGCGAAGGAGGCGAAGGAGAGCAAGCTCTAAAGGGTCTTCGCAATGGTAAATGGAGCTTATTTATTGTTCCACAGATTGCACAGGTTTTTATACTTAATTGTTGATTATGTGATCCCGGCAGAGGACTCGGCTCTGCTATAAATACACAATGTACATATGCCGAGAGGTGGTTCGACTCCGATTAATGGGGAAGCCGTGAAGGATACTGAGAAACTGGTTATGTGTAATGGTTAACCCATGTAGTAAGCATTTTAAAATTTTTTGACAGTCAAACTTGGCAAATATTATACTGGAAAACCCCACTATCTTAACCTAAATCAAAAGTTGTAACCCTAATACCAAATTTAAATGTTTAATTAACTTTTAAAAGTCTTTGAAATATTTCTTATTTGGATTTTAAAATAAATGTTTTAAATGTATTAAAGTATTTATTTACTATACACTATAACAATGACTTCCAAGTTATATAATTATTTTGGCAAGAACCATTACACAATGATTTAAATAATTCTTAATTGTAATTTTATTATGGATAATATTTAATGTTCGACCAAACAATTTTGAGTGTAATTAGGCTTACATTTTCAGTTTCCGTCAGCAGAAGTAATTTGTCTTAAGACCGCCGGCAGTTGACCTACATCCCGCAGTAGAATCCAAGCAGCGAAAGTGTTAATAACCCGCAAACCAGTTTCCCAAATCCCAGCCGGCTGTTGCATCATTTTCTAGACTCTTTCTTGGCAACAGCATCGTTTTCTGTTGTCGGTCCGCTTTTGGAGGTCAGTCGGATTTACATGGAAATGATTTTTGAAAATGTATATTTTTAAAAATAACTGAACTAAGGCAACAGGGGAAAAGAAGCCAAGTAAGTTGATGGCCCTGCGGCTTCCACATTTGTCTGCACTCATGTTCGTTTGACGTTGCTTCTGCTGAATTTTTTTTTTCGCCTTGGTCAGTTCCTGGGTCTGGTCTCAGAGTGATAAATGATCTTGGACAACCGTTTAATTTGTCTTAAATTGGTAACAAATTTAATATGCAAGAAGTATTGATTTAATTTATAAAAACACCTAAAAACATGATGGCTTTTGTTCCTGAATCAGATATTGGTTTGACAAATTAATCCATAATAAAAACATTGCTTATAAGGCTAAGAAAAATGGCTTGAAAAATAAGATATTTTGTCAAAATCTAAATGTGACTTTAAATTCCTTCATTAACATCTTTGAATAGAAATGCTACTCCAAAATTATTATGCTAGAATGTGTGAAACTCTAATAGCAGTTATATTATAATATAATTTGCATGCAACTTGGGGGTAAAAAACATGAATTCACATAAGTCGGCGGAACTTTCAAGTTTGCAATCTAGTACATCGCAGTTTTTTTTTCGCTATTTCCATAATTAAAACAAACTGAGCTTTGTTCAAATGGCTGTGCGTATATTTTATGGAATTTTTCAACATCATTTTGTGGGTTTATGTACAGACTTGTTACAACTAGTTATAACTCATTTTTAGCCGAAAGAGCACTGACTAGGCCTTAAATGGGATTTAAATATTATCCGGATTTAATTTTGCTGGGGGTGAGCGGCGTTGTATTCCAGGGAACGGAGGATGGCTTCTGGAATTGGAGGAGGGGTGGGAAGGTGGGCGCCCTGGGGCTGGAAGCCGTTCTCATCGGCGACATAGGTCAGGGAGATCTGCTCGCCCTCAGGAGAGATATATGAACTACTTCCGGATACTCCATTTCCATTTCCAGCCTCCTGGGCCTGGATGCCATTGCTGGTCTCAAAGGCAAATTTGTAGTTTCCCTCGGGATCGGCAGGATCGCTATCCTCGCGTGTGATCACGGCATCCTTGTTGATGTTATCCGCATGGACATTGGCCAGCATCAAAGCGGCGAGCAGGCAGAGCGACTGAAATGGTTACACGATCACGATCTGGATCCTTCCGGGCGACAAAGTCTACTCACTAGCTTGAACATCTTGCTGATTTCTGGGGTTGAATAATCCACACTGGTTGGGTGATCTTCGCAGGCGGTGGCTTTTATAGTCAGCCAACGACTGCGCCGACTTTGGCGTTGGCGTCGCCTCTGCTGACGTCTCTAATCTGGCTCTGAACTCCAAGCAGCCGCTCCAAACTAAATATCAAACTTAATACGTTTGTGTGTTTTTCGGCAAAGAGCAGCATACCGATCGAATTTAATAAAATTCAGCGCAGCCACAGAAAAAAAAACTAGAAAGGAGGTCTTGCTTTGGACACCGGAACGTAAAATACCCTTGCTAAATGGTATGATGATATTGCTGGATTACCAAGAGCCGTGGTCATCGGCATATAATTGTCTTTTTAGGCAACCGCGACTTGTTCATTTTAATCGGTACTTCCCGCGGCATATGAATAATACCGGAACTTATTTTCCTTTTGATTGATCGGTTTTATAATCCGATTTAAGCTTTGTATAATCATTAGGATTTTACTATGTATTTACTGAGGATTTTAAGTCTTTTCATGTTTTTTTTTAAGAAAAAAATAGTACAAATTTTAATGGCATAACTCTGAAATTGAAAGTCTCGGATTTTTATAGTCTTCAGTTTCTTTACTTAAAAAACCAGCTTTTAGAAAATATTTATACTCTTAATTTGACCAATTGCTCTAAATTAAAATGTGTTGAGCGTGTGATAAAATATAACTATTATATAATAATCATATAACTTTTATAATCCCAAAAATTCCATAGCTGTATCGACTGCTTATAGTTAATATCATAGTTATCATAAAACCGTCGCAAAGCTTTTATCAAAAGTAGAACAGCCTTAGCAAGGGTATAGTGAAGCATCTGAACCCATTTAAAGTGGTTGCTGCTGATGGATCCACATCTGCCTTGGTAGCGGTAATTACCGATCTGACTTTGCACTTAATGGCTAATAGTTTCGGTTAAGTTTTGGGGGCTTGGGGCTTGGTTTTCTTGATCGTAATGGCACATGTGACATTCGCCCGCCCAGCGAGGGCTACTTCAGAGACGGGCCTGGATTTGGAAGGGGCCAGCCACTCGTGCGCGAATAAATTTAATTCAGTCCAATTTATCATACGTTTCAATTTCGATTTCATTGGCCATTTGGCTTGGGATGAGCGCAGGCGGAGAACCTGTTTGCTCATCAAGGAATTCTTAATTCCCCCAAACATCTCAGCAAGTTCATCGCATTAGCATACAAATTTGCTGTCCAGCTATAAATTGTCTAGGCCTAAACGCACTTAGCACTCCGACTAATAAAATGCCCATCAATCGCCGCCCCACCTGATCTAGCAAACTAGTTCAGCGACCCATCCGTATCCAAACCCTAAACAAATTCCATGACGTATCATACAGATGGCAGCGACAACATTCACAAAAATTTGAATTGTTAAATTGCCAAAATTAAAATAACCAACTTCACAGATAATTTAGAAGTCTGATATATATAGATGCATTCCCAAAATCACGGGGCATTATACAGCAGTTTTATAACGGTTTAAAAACAACTTTTTGATCAATATTTGCATATGGTTCCATTTATTTTTAAAGCTTAAAATACAAATTGGACTCGTTGAAATTAAATACAACTTGTTTCCATTTATAGATGCAGTTTGGCCTGCATATACAGCCAACACTTTATAAAATATTAGTATGTCACCTAAGCGCAGGGTTTCCATTTAAAATCCGAACTTGTCACCACAATATTTTAGACATATTTTTCCTCCATCGGGCAGGTTAAAGCCAAAGTAACCTGGAATGGCTTTAGTGGACAGAAAGGAATCCTCTGGAATGATAACATTTCTGACATTGTCATCTCTTATGGAACAGTTCCTTTAAAATTTCCCCGTGGATTTCCATCCCGGCAAATTGCAAACCATCCAACCAGAGGGAAAATCCACTGTAAAGAGCCTAGGATTATGCGAATAGATTTGTCTGAATTATACCTACACTTTCATTCTACCTGAGGTATGAAGATATATACAATTTTATGAAGTGAACTTCCTGGAGTCGTTTGTTTGGCAATGATTTAAAAAAGAAATACCTATAGATAGGTGTGAACTATATTTAATTATAGTCCAGTTTCACTTCCTTATTGACTGAAATGATTCTTGACAATTAACACAAATTTCCGAAGATGTTGGCTAAGCTAATTTTGCAACAAAAAATCTTGGGTGCCGAGCAAAGGTATAAATAAATTTGTTCAAACTTATCGCTAAGTTCGAGGTAATTAATCAATTCGCCGAACATCAAAGTAAACAATTAATTAAAGTCATAAATGTAGGGTATCAGAAGATCACACATTGCATTGGCTAGCTAGACGATCTTTGACGGTGCTCCGGGTGACATGCTGCCAGGTGACCTTGTCCATCTCCGAACCGATTTCAACAGCTTTCCAGGGGCAAAGGCAAAGTCAATCCGCACCTGCCACTCCATTTGGAAGCCCCGAGCCCAGGGCGCATCTCCAATTGAAAGTTGTAACACAGAAATCTTCAACTCGGTGGGGGGAATTTCCAGCGGTTTGTGAATGAGCCGAAAACCGCATTAAACAGCAATTTTTATTTGTTTGTAATATAACATTTAGTGGTATCCAAAAATGATATGCGCACTCTCGTGCGAAACCGAAACTGAAACCGAATTAAAGCATACAATATAAATTGTTGGCAAATGACTCATGTATTTTAACTCTAGTTGAGCTGAGCATTGTTGTTATTGTTCCCATTATTGGGGCTATGATAAGACAAGTTTTTGGCAATTATAGCCACCTCTGGTCCTCAAGTTCCGAAAAACCCGTTTAGGTGCCTGCCACTAAAGACAAGGGTCTCATCCATATAAAAGACGCACTTGAGCTGATCGAATTAAACAGTTGCATTGCAAGCAGCATCATCACAGCATCAGCTTTCAGAGAAAGAAGCACTCGATTACCAACAAGATGTACAAATATGTAAGTTCGGAAGGATTTGCCGGAGAATGACACAAACAATAATGTTGCATATATTTTCCCAAAGCTGTTCTGCCTCGCTCTCATCGGCTGCGCCTGCGCCGACAACATCAACAAGGACGCCCAGATCCGTAGCTTCCAGAACGATGCCACCGATGCGGAGGGCAACTACCAGTACGCCTACGAGACCAGCAATGGCATCCAGTTCCAGGAGGCGGGTAATCCCAACGGAGCTCGCGGTGCCGTGGCCTATGTGTCGCCCGAGGGCGAGCACATCTCGCTGACCTACACTGCCGACGAGGAGGGCTACCATCCGGTGGGCGACCACCTGCCCACCCCGCCTCCCGTTCCGGCCTACATCCTGCGCGCCCTGGAATACATCCGCACCCACCCCCGGCGCCCGTCCAGAAGGATCAGCAGTAATCCGGAGTAGCACCAGCTCCACAGCCAGCAACACCACATCCAAAACTGCGGCCAGTCATTGTTATTTAGGGACGTTATACTTGTAGTTATCGTTAATAAAGAACGTCGATACAGAAACTTGAACTTGTGTTTAAACTTTTATAAATTTATTTATTTAAATGAATAATAAAATATGAAAATAATATAATTGGAATTTAAGCCAACCCTTTTTTGCCAAATCAGATAACTCTTTTACATGAACAAATAATGAGTTAATTTTAACATAATTCACAAATAAACTGCTTTTTCCGTAAAAGTTTAATGTGTTTAAAAATATAATTTCGGCAAGTTTTCTTCTTTCAAAAAAGTAATTTAATGCTGCTAATTTAATAACTGATCTGCCTCCGCACCATCCGATAAATGGATTTTACCCTTTTTTATTTTAGCAGATTATGATCGTTATAAGCTATATTAATAGCATTTATATATTTGTACCTATGTTATTCCTTGCGTTATTTATTCAATGTGGGAAATTTAAATCCAGTACAAATTTAAACAAGTGTAATCCTCAACCAGATTAAAAACCTTATCTTTTTTCTGTAGCCTTTGAAAGTGTCTCAAAATCATTGTGTCCTTATTGTTTCTTTCATTCAATTGAGTTAATTTTGGATATTTAATGCAATCCGAAAAGGGTCATTAGCTCTGACATTTCGACCGAATCCGATTTTTTGAACTGCAATAACTTCAAGTAAACTGAATTGAGGGCGCCGCGATTTTCCAAATTCGACATAATCTTAATCAAAACCTAAAGATGAATTAAATGTTAATGAAAAATGTGAAAAGTCTGCCTGGATTGACTTACCTCGAGTAATATATCACCGGCGTTAGAAGCCGATTTCCAGTTAACAGAGTCAAATATGTTTCCAATATATTTGACCGATAAGGTCAAATACAACTTTAATTGTACCAATAATGTGTGGACGATCATGTGGATGGTCGCCAATTTATTTGGTCGATCTGATTTGGTTTCTTGGAAGAATAAATTGTTGTTGGTGGCGTATAAGACAGAATCGTCGAAGAAACTAAATTGTAGACTAAAACTATAAGTAATTCCCTCTTCGACATGCCCTGGTTCATAAGCGTTAATTGTAAAGTTATTCTGCTCATCTATGCCATGTCGAAGGCTGTATGATTTTCCGCTTTTACACTCGATCTGAGAAATTCTGCCGATAGCTTTTGACAAATCCAAAAAGAAGAGGTTGGTAAGCTTATCACCGATCACATATCCATTTTCAACTGCAGGGTGCTGTGTAAATGTTTTCAGTTTGAAGACTTTGTATCCATGACCAATGGGAATGTGAATTCGCTGAGGCTGTACATTAAATGGCATTTTAAGCCAAAGAAGCGGCTCCAACATTTTTGGAAAAGAATTGTTGAAAAAGATACCTGCAAAAAATACTTTAATAAATGGAAGAGTGGTCTGTATGCTAGGTCTAAGTTGGGACAGTGAGTTCAGTTTTTGTTCACTTAACAAATTTATTTACTTTGTTTATGAGACCAATAGAGTTAAACGCCAAACTCAAGCCAGATTTTGGTAATGAAAGTCATACAATTTCTTTTTAAATTCAATTAGAAATCAATAATCCACAAATAAATGAAAAATGGGTTTAAAAATGTGTTTTTAGAATCTACCCGTGACTAGTGTGGTTTTATTTAGCCTTCCTCGTCGTTAAACTTTTCTGGTTAATTTCTGTTATTGTCAGAAGTACGTATTTCTTTTAGATCAATGTGAAATGATTTTGTGCAAGTTGGAACAGCCGATTTGCGAGTCGCATAAAACAGCCCTTTATTTTTGTTTTTTGCCATTTTTCCAACATACTAAAGCGGTGCAGTTAAAAATTAGAATCTAGTCTCGAATTTTAAATTGTATCCTTTTAGTACATACATACATACATACGTTAGAAAAATTGCAAAAAATATGTAAGTATTAGTTGTAAGCCAAATGGCAGATCCAAAACAAAACGTGTGCAAACTCTCAGACCTTTCTTCCAAGTTCAAGGCTTTTTTAAGAATTGTGACTTACATGTCTTTTCCAAGTTTTTGATTGTGCCCTTAAAAACTGAATCGATGTTAGTTAATTCTTGATTAATTTTGTCGGATATGTCGGATGCATCCTGCAAATAATTTTGCTGTTCAGGTGTTGGGTTTTTTGATAGATTTTCAATAAGCAGTTCAAGAGCCTCATTGAATTTGAGAGCCATAGCGGAGTTTTTGCTTTTGCTTTGTCGTGCCTCGGGGAAATCCAAAACTAAATTGACATTTGGTTCAGTTCCAGAGCGACTCTCTAAAATTACGAATGAACTTTTTGAACCATTTTTGTGACAAGAATATCGTTATCGAAATTTAATATTTTTTACGCTCACTGTGATTTAATGTCAAGAGCTTATAGTTCTTTGTGTAAACTATCGGCATAAGGCAATGCCCCAATTCCCGATTAAAAATATAACGATTTTTTTTTGTGAAAAATAGCCTTGCACATATATTTAAATATCCAAATCCAAAATTAACAAAATGGAGAATCTTCAAATAAAAATTAAAATCGCTTTATTTGTTTTAATTAACAATTCTAAAACTAAAGAAGATTTTCACCGATTCTAACCATCCTAGTTTACTCAAAAGCTTAATAATTAAAAAACGAGTTTCAGGCCTATTGCTTTTGGTAAATTTACTTAAAATTTTCAGAGGATATTCCTAAAGAGTAAAAAGTTAAAATTGAATAAAAAGTGAGAAGAAAAATGGAAATTTGGCTGAATAAATAGTGATTATATTTTTGAATACCGAACCAAAAAATGTATCAAAAAACGTTGGAGTGCACCCCTCTGCACTTTTTGTTTAATTCGCAATTTAAAAATTTACATTTAAAAAAATCTTTTATTAAGACAAAAAATAAGAAGTAACATATTTTTTTTTACATTGAATTTGTTTGCTTTTTTAAAGCAGATAATGTCGTAATAACAAAACTAAATATATCATATTCATATATTGAAGTTTTCATCGTTGTGACCATACAATATTATATTTTAATAAAATAAAGAGTTTAAGTAAGTTGCTTTCATTTCCATTTCCGCAAGACATTTACAGCGTCTTGAAATGCGTTCCAATATTTATGGCAGACCAAAAAGACCCATTAGCTCTGGCATTTTAACTGAATCCGAGTCCTTAAACTGTATTAATTTTGCGAAGACACATATCAAATGTTCCTGGCGTTGCCTCAATGTAATCAATGTTGCCATGGCCTGATGGTTAATCGAAATGCAATTGAAATAATTGATTACACTAAAAGCTGTGTAAACTCACCGCAAGCAAAGTATCCCCCGTGTTGGATACTAAACGTAAATCAATGCAAGACAATACCTGGTTTATAGCTGGTACAGTCGGTGATTCATTCTCATCTTTTAATTGTAGTAACAATATTTGTGCATTGGTTAACAATTTAATAGTCTTCCTTCCACGCGCTTCTGCCTTGGATTTTACAATTTGGTGAAGGAAATTATTTAAATATGCGTAAAGGACAGAATCGTTGGAGAATCTAAACACGAGTTTAAATTCATAAATTATTAATTCATTGTCCTCCAAGCCATTTTTGCCACATTCCGTGACAACGATATTGAAAGCGTTTTTATGCGTAACAAAGTCGGTGCGTACTTTATACATTTTTCCGCTTTTGCAAATGAAATTGTGCATTCTGTCCATAACTCGGTTCAAATCAAAGTAGAACCGTCTGGTCAGCACTTTGCCGTTCACATATCCATTCTCAACTGCTGGATGATTTACGGTCGTCTTAAGATTAAACAATCTGCATCTAGGATCAGGGTGGACATTAACTTTCTGGGGTTCAATCGCAAATGGTATTGCAATCCACAACAAAGGCACTCGCGTTTTAGGATATGGCTTATCGATAAACATATCTAAAAACAAAGATAATTTTAAAATACTTGAGTGTCATATATGTACATATATACAAGGCATCAAATTCAAGCATAAGAGATTCATACAGATGAATTAAGAGTAAACAAAGTGGTAAAGTGCTGACTCAAGACATTGAAACTAAGAAAGTTTTCGCTGATCAATCTTTTCATCCTCATCGGACTTATACATAAACATCGTCCACTTTAAAGTTATAAACATTTTAACTTACATGTCTGGTCCCATTTAGTAACTGCACCCTTGAAAATAGAATTAATGTTAATGAGTTCCTGATTTATTTTCTCTGATATTTCGGCTGCATCCTGCATATATGTTTGCTGTTCCGGTTTGGTAGTTTTTGATAGGTTTTCTACCAGCATTTCAATTGCCTCGTTGAACTTTAACGACATTTTCAGCTTTAGCTCCTCTTTTGTACTTTCTTCTGGGAATCCCAAAATTAAATGAAACTTTTGTATGGCGACAGCCTACAAGTTAGGGATGGAGCTTTTAATATTTTTTGATAGACAAGCGCATTTGAAATCGCTATCACCTAACGCGATATCGATATCCAAATCACACGAGGCACATCCCAGTGGAATGTGGAATATCCAAAGCTGTTCTGCCTCGCTCTCATCGGCTGCGCCTGCGCCGACAACATCAACAAGGACGCCCAGATCCGTAGCTTCCAGAACGATGCCACCGATGCGGAGGGCAACTACCAGTACGCCTACGAGACCAGCAATGGCATCCAGTTCCAGGAGGCGGGTAATCCCAACGGAGCTCGCGGTGCCGTGGCCTATGTGTCGCCCGAGGGCGAGCACATCTCGCTGACCTACACTGCCGACGAGGAGGGCTACCATCCGGTGGGCGACCACCTGCCCACCCCGCCTCCCGTTCCGGCCTACATCCTGCGCGCCCTGGAATACATCCGCACCCACCCCCCGGCGCCCGTCCAGAAGGATCAGCAGTAATCCGGAGTAGCACCAGCTCCACAGCCAGCAACACCACATCCAAAACTGCGGCCAGTCATTGTTATTTAGGGACGTTATACTTGTAGTTATCGTTAATAAAGAACGTCGATACAGAAACTTGAACTTGTGTTTAAACTTTTATAAATTTATTTATTTAAATGAATAATAAAATATGAAAATAATATAATTGGAATTTAAGCCAACCCTTTTTTGCCAAATCAGATAACTCTTTTACATGAACAAATAATGAGTTAATTTTAACATAATTCACAAATAAACTGCTTTTTCCGTAAAAGTTTAATGTGTTTAAAAATATAATTTCGGCAAGTTTTCTTCTTTCAAAAAAGTAATTTAATGCTGCTAATTTAATAACTGATCTGCCTCCGCACCATCCGATAAATGGATTTTACCCTTTTTATTTTAGCAGATTATGATCGTTATAAGCTATATTAATAGCATTTATATATTTGTACCTATGTTATTCCTTGCGTTATTTATTCAATGTGGGAAATTTAAATCCAGTACAAATTTAAACAAGTGTAATCCTCAACCAGATTAAAAACCTTATCTTTTTTCTGTAGCCTTTGAAAGTGTCTCAAAATCATTGTGTCCTTATTGTTTCTTTCATTCAATTGAGTTAATTTTGGATATTTAATGCAATCCGAAAAGGGTCATTAGCTCTGACATTTCGACCGAATCCGATTTTTTGAACTGCAATAACTTCAAGTAAACTGAATTGAGGGCGCCGCGATTTTCCAAATTCGACATAATCTTAATCAAAACCTAAAGATGAATTAAATGTTAATGAAAAATGTGAAAAGTCTGCCTGGATTGACTTACCTCGAGTAATATATCACCGGCGTTAGAAGCCGATTTCCAGTTAACAGAGTCAAATATGTTTCCAATATATTTGACCGATAAGGTCAAATACAACTTTAATTGTACCAATAATGTGTGGACGATCATGTGGATGGTCGCCAATTTATTTGGTCGATCTGATTTGGTTTCTTGGAAGAATAAATTGTTGTTGGTGGCGTATAAGACAGAATCGTCGAAGAAACTAAATTGTAGACTAAAACTATAAGCAATTCCCTCTTCGACATGCCCTGGTTCATAAGCGTTAATTGTAAAGTTATTCTGCTCATCTATGCCATGTCGAAGGCTGTATGATTTTCCGCTTTTACACTCGATCTGAGAAATTCTGCCGATAGCTTTTGACAAATCCAAAAAGAAGAGGTTGGTAAGCTTATCACCGATCACATATCCATTTTCAACTGCAGGGTGCTGTGTAAATGTTTTCAGTTTGAAGACTTTGTATCCATGACCAATGGGAATGTGAATTCGCTGAGGCTGTACATTAAATGGCATTTTAAGCCAAAGAAGCGGCTCCAACATTTTTGGAAAAGAATTGTTGAAAAAGATACCTGCAAAAAATACTTTAATAAATGGAAGAGTGGTCTGTATGCTAGGTCTAAGTTGGGACAGTGAGTTCAGTTTTTGTTCACTTAACAAATTTATTTACTTTGTTTATGAGACCAATAGAGTTAAACGCCAAACTCAAGCCAGATTTTGGTAATGAAAGTCATACAATTTCTTTTTAAATTCAATTAGAAATCAATAATCCACAAATAAATGAAAAATGGGTTTAAAAATGTGTTTTTAGAATCTACCCGTGACTAGTGTGGTTTTATTTAGCCTTCCTCGTCGTTAAACTTTTCTGGTTAATTTCTGTTATTGTCAGAAGTACGTATTTCTTTTAGATCAATGTGAAATGATTTTGTGCAAGTTGGAACAGCCGATTTGCGAGTCGCATAAAACAGCCCTTTATTTTTGTTTTTTGCCATTTTTCCAACATACTAAAGCGGTGCAGTTAAAAATTAGAATCTAGTCTCGAATTTTAAATTGTATCCTTTTAGTACATACATACATACATACGTTAGAAAAATTGCAAAAAAATATGTAAGTATTAGTTGTAAGCCAAATGGCAGATCCAAAACAAAACGTGTGCAAACTCTCAGACCTTTCTTCCAAGTTCAAGGCTTTTTTAAGAATTGTGACTTACATGTCTTTTCCAAGTTTTTGATTGTGCCCTTAAAAACTGAATCGATGTTAGTTAATTCTTGATTAATTTTGTCGGATATGTCGGATGCATCCTGCAAATAATTTTGCTGTTCAGGTGTTGGGTTTTTTGATAGATTTTCAATAAGCAGTTCAAGAGCCTCATTGAATTTGAGAGCCATAGCGGAGTTTTTGCTTTTGCTTTGTCGTGCCTCGGGGAAATCCAAAACTAAATTGACATTTGGTTCAGTTCCAGATCGACTCTCTAAAATTACGAATGAACTTTTTGAACCATTTTTGTGACAAGAATATCGTTATCGAAATTTAATATTTTTTACGCTCACTGTGATTTCATGTCAAGAGC